AGTAAAACAAGAAAAATTATCACAGATATATATACATCATAGCAAATAAAAATTCTTTGTTTGAAATTAGCTGGAGGTTATTGGGTAACCATCATATATATACCTTTACCAATTACATTCCCATGTTCTTTTTGCGAAAGTATACACTATTCGTCTTGAGTAGAACATCGGCTATCATATTTTTTTTTTCTTGGCAAAAGTGATCAGCATTCTGAAAAAGAATGCACACATAATTTTTATTAATTTAAAATTTTGAATAAATATGTATCTTATATAAAAATTATTATTAAACATGTTATCAGAGCTTGAATTATTGAGACAACAAGTTACCAAGCTTGAGGCTGAAAATACCAAATTAAAACAGATCATAGAAGAAATAGCTAATCTTAGGATCGAAAATACAAGACTAAAACAAATTATAAAACAAAATAGAACTTCTAATGATGCTTCGCAATCACAATGTGAGGATGCTATTGCATCTAAATTATTCAGTGATTTTTCAGATGGAAAAGGGATTAATAGTTTTGCTTCTTTTTTATGTGAAGTATTAATCTTTAAGCCTAGTACATCTACTAAACTCCTGCCTATAAGATTACAATTGCTGGCAGTATCTAGTATAGTTTTAACTGATACTTTGTATTATGAAATAATAAATTCTACTCTAATTTCGCAAGATAAAATTCTCATCGTGATGTTTTATTATAATATTATATTTAATTATATTTTTTTTGTGTATTAATAAATAATAATTCTGCATTTACAATGACTAAAGATAATATTAAGTCTGTTATAAAAAATAATATCAGAGCTAGCATGGCCAATGCTATCTTGTCTCAAGAATTTTGTAAAGAGTTAGATGCATCAATCAATTTGCAAGAATTATGTGAATATATCAAAACAATAACCAAGTTTTTAACAGATCAGCAGAATACTATTGGGGTAATATCCAGTATTCATAGGCAAATATTAGATAAAAAAATCTAGATTTCTCTCCACCAATTACTGGAGATAGTGAAACCCAAGATTCAGCAAAATATTATAAACACAATAGCAAACCCAGATATTTCTCGGCAACATATTCTATGCAAAGCTAGAAAAAAACTAATTTTTAACAATACCACATCTAAGTCCTCATCCATATCTGAATCTGGGTCTGAGTTTGAATCGTCTAGCCACAAAGTGACTACCTCTAGCAATGATAATAAAGATTTTACTGTGAAAGTAGTGAAAGTGAAGAAGCATGATTAGTAATTGTATAGATCTATAATATCTGATATCTTAGTATTTTTTTTTTTTTCTAGTCATTGGAACAATTGGTCTGTCATTCATCACACCATAATAATCTGATACTATATTAATTACCTTGTGTCTTAATGCCAATTGACAGAGACATTTATGATAGACATCATTCTTACCTCTATAAATTGTAATAGCATGTTCAGAACTAATTTTTCTCAAATGCGATGAGCTTATTCCATAAATTGCTAGAAAATTATTAATTAGGTGGACATTTACATCACTATATTTATCTCTTATTAAAAATGAGAATTTATTAAGAATTGCTTTCTGGATCCAAATAAGTAATTCTCTAGCCAGTAGTGGATCTTTCTCTATAGATACTAATGGTCTAGGTTTCTCTTTTTTATTTTTGGCATATCCAGTGCAGTACCAAGAATATTTAGGATTATACCATTTAGTAGTATCTACTTTATAATACTTAATACAGAGGTTTTCTACATCTGCTAGTCTTATACATAACATTATCACTATATTGATTAAATTTTGCATAGAGGAAGGTTTTGTTATATCACACTTACTAAGTCTTTTCTGAACATTTTTCAAATAAAAGAATTCTGGACAATTGAATCTCTTGTCTTCACAGAGTTTCTGATTTATTGCTTGTTCTTTATTTGATTTTTGAGTAATATTGAATATATATATTGCTTCTAATATAAGATATTTAGTATTAAGTATATGCAATTTTTTTCAAAGCAATTTTACTATGTCGACCACAGATTTCTCCAGTTCTATGAATATATGAGCAATAGTATAATATCATCACGATTATATATAATAATTACTTCAATCAAATATATAATTTTTTTTCGCATCTGGCTAAAATTTTTGGAATAATTAATTTTATTTTAAAGATTTATTTACCAATTAATATAGTTTTAATAATATATACTTTTTGTCAGATCAAACAACACACATATACAAACAACATATATACAAATCAATAAAATGACTTGGTATTCGCATTCAGAATATGATTATTTATCAGATGAAAACTTAGAATATAACTACTACTTTCAAAATTATACAACTCTTTACTCTTTAAATATCTCTATCTCCTCTAACCCTAATCTGTCCTGGCCTCAAACTCCTTCTGGCAGCAACCTACCTCTGGAAAACATTCTTTTCCAACACCCCAAATATCATACATTCAAACAGCAGCTTCGTC